AAGAAAAGCATACATTATATAACCAATAGGTGATTACTTTTCTATATAAACTTTTTAAAGACAAGATCTTAACATTAACTGGATTTATTTTTCAATATCTCAAAAAGATTATATTATATATAAAAATTATCCACTACTATTTAGTTTTTCAAATAAAAACATTTCAAAAGTGCTAATTTTGAAGAGTTTTATAAACTGCAATAGTGGAGTACCTTTACTGTATGGGGATTTAATGAATTTCAAGATAAATAAAATTCTAGCCACATCAATCTCATTCTTTATATTGTGCTTATATAATAATACATTATATTCTGCAAACACTTACAAATATATTGCTTCGTGTGATCCTCACAATAGTTTTCAGTTTTGTATTGACCCACACTTCCTGATTCTTGAATATGTAACAATTTGGATTTTGGAGAGGAAAATAACTTGGGGAAACCTTTATTGGCTTCCTCATGTTGGCACAGCAGAAGAAAATTGTCCATGTGCCTGTTGTGGAGATCTCAATCCTCCTCCCTAAAAAGTGGATTGTATAGTCTTATTTCTACCCATAACAACTTCATCCTGGGTCTTAAAGTCTTATCATACCCTGACAGTGTCTTTTCTGCCTACTATGCAGACAAGGGGGCAGTTCCAAGACACACCTGGAATTATTTAGGGTATGATTTATTTCAGTACTTTCTGTTTCTTCCAAGTCTACTTTCTTTAAAGCACCTACTTGTATTCTTCAATCTAATTTGCCTCCCAATTATGCCAGTTATGTCCTCTTTTTCCTAGCAATTCCTTGTGAAATGGGTAAGTGCAAGTGGGCGTGGAGGTTCAGGCAGGCTAAGGACTTGCTTTTCAGGACCCACATCTGCGAGTGGTAGGGCCAAGATCCTTCTGGTTCTCAGTCCAGCATCCTTTCTACCAGGCTGTGTTTATAATTATCCAGGAACATATTATCTAGGTATATAACTAAAGGGATACAAGCCGTAGACTCTAATGTTTACTTTCAATTCTTATTCTCCTTTTGATCACTTCAGTCCCCAAAAAGCCTAAACAAAAGGATAGATATAGAAGGCAAGAAAGAAAACGTTCAAGGGCTAAAAAGTTAAAATCAATTTTGAAATCAATCAGTTTTGGCAATAGGTTTCCTGAGAGCATTTTAACTTTGATTTATAATCATGGCTGAAGATTATCTGTGGCTATCTATCCTTCACTGTTATCACCCCACTGCAAAGAATGAGTCAACCAAAACTCACTGTATGTAATGGTGGTACTATTGCTACATACTTATATATGATTTTCCCTTACAGAGTTCAAATTCTGTTCAGAA